TTATTTCTGGGTATCAACTAAATAGACAAAAAGACTTTTTCAACAGTACATGGAATAAAAATCTACTCAACAGCACATTCATCTTTGTTCAGTTCATTTTCACATTTTTGAAAAACACTGAAAATTTGACTGGAGCTGGGCATGGGGGACTATACCTGTAGTCCAAACTAATTGGGAAGCTGAGGTAGAAAGTTCACTTGAATCTAGATCAAGACTGGACTGAACAACATAATAAAACTCCATCTCAAAAGTCTGTGTGTGGGGTGGGGGAGCTAGGACTGTCGATCGGGGGTAGAGCACTTGCCTATCAGTGAGGCAGGCCCCTGGTTTGATCCCCAGAGCTGGAAAAAAAATACCCCACTGTGAGTCAAAAGTTGCAGTTCACTAATGCTGTCACGCTTCAACACATTTTGGCAACTCCATCTCAAGTCATTAATCCAATTATAAATTTAGTTTCCAGTAATGCTTTGTAATCTCATATTTCAAATGCCTAAACTTTGGTTTAGTCATGGAGCTCCATGACTAGATTATCTCTAGTCAGAGTGAAAACATCAGACAGCTCAAGTTTCTGGGAAATACTACGCGTACATAGCCCCTAACATGATCTTCATATAAATATCCCATACTCCCCCAAAGGTTTGGAAATAGGGTCTGGAGAAATCAGTCTACCTCCTTCCATAATAAAGCCACTTTCTTTATCACCACCACTTGCTTCTCAGGCATTGGTTTTTGTGTAGGCAATCTTCTGAATGTTATATATTATTTTAAATTATTTTCTCTTTTATTGATTTAAACAGTTTAAGCATAATTCCAGTACTTGAACATTTGGGAAAATATCTACTATCTATGAACCTTTAAAATAGTGATTTCCTCATGGTTCAATAATTTCCAACTTGGGAAATCAAATCCTTGAAATGTGTACAGTTTGGGTATTTGTGTATTCCACTTCATCTGAGCTTTGCCTACGATGGTTCAAGGATCACAGAATCAGCCAGCATCCTGAGGGCAACACTCAAAAAAGGGTTTACTGCAGCTGAGGTCACATTCAAATACAAACAATGCAAATGTTAACCAAAAACTACAAAGGAAAAGACAAAATGTAGTTCTTTATACCTTCAACAAGCAAAATGAAGCAACTAGATATACTTTAACAGAAATGCTACAAAATGAAGCAACGAGATAGGAAAAAAAACACTAAAAGTAATCAGAAGCAAAAGTCTTGTAGGAGTGAAAAAAGCAAATGTCTAGAAACAGTGTAGATCTGTGGTTGTCTAAGGCTGGAGGGGAAACGGAATGGCAGCAAATACCATAGTGTTTTTTCAACTCACAGAAATGTGCTTAAATTATCCCATGATTATGGTCACATAGCTCTGCGAAAACACTATGCCAAGCAGGGGATACATCCACTTAAAATGTGATGGTTGGCTCCTGAGCCACAAGACTCAGAGAGACACCTAAAATGTCACAAAAACAACCCTGGCATCCAGGAGAGCAGCAGCGCACTGCTGCCCAGCTGCCCAGCTGCCCGGCTCCACCGTCGCACCTGCTCCCCTTTCTCTGCACACACAGCTGGCTCTACTGTCTGCATTGCCCACTTTCTCCTCCTCTGGCTTGCACAGAGCAGCAGCAGGACAGGCATGGCCTGGATCTCCAGAGCTGCAGTCGTTCAGCCACAATGGCAGGAGAGGGCACAGCTGGCTTCTGCTGAGAGCAGGATATGGCAATTTATGGGCCATGGGGTTCCGCAGGAGACACACGTGGCCAGCTGGACACACTGGGGGCTGCCAAGTACACTCCACCAGGGAGATTTCATCTGAGGCAGGAAAACTGGAAATCCAAGACCCTTATTTGACACATGACATGGGAATCAATTCAAAAAATGGACTAAAGACTTACTCATAAATCTCCTAAAAATGGGAAAATTCCATTACATGGGTCTTAGCAGTGATGTCTGGATGTGACACCAAAAGCACAAGCAACAGAAGCAAAATTGAACCCCACTAAAGGAAAAAAAATTAGTGAAAAAGCAAAACAAAGAGTAAGAAGAATGTTTCAAGCCATGTATCTGATGAAGGAGCAATATCAAAAGGCACACATCCCATTCAACAAAAAAGCGGTTTTAACAGCGAGAAAACGGTTGGGGCTGTGGCTCAGTGGTACAGTGCTTGCCTAGCATGCTCAAGGCACTGGGTTGCATCCCTGGCAACACACAAACACACACACACACGCACACGCACACACACACACACACACACATGCACACCACACCTGTTTAAATATTTCCCCACAAAGACATGAGGATGGTCAATCAGTACATGAAAAGATACTCTATTTCCAATTATCAGGGAAATGCAAATAAAGACCATAGTCATCTGTATTACCTAACACCTGTTAGGCAGTTTCTTTAAAAAACTTACAAGTAGAACTACCATATGATCCAGTAATCCCACTTACAAGTCTTTGACCAAAGAAAATAAAAATCACTATCTCAAGTGCAGGCACTCGCGTTTCATTGCAACATTCTGGACAATAGCAATACATGGAAGCCACCTAAGCATTTCTCCACAAATACACTGAAAACGTGCCATACACACATTATGAATACAGTTTGGCCTTATAAAAGGAAATGCTGCCAATATGGCCACACAGACTCAAAAGCCAGGACCTGGAGATGTTCACTAAATCACATAATCCAGGCGCAGAAAGATGCTTTGTGACTGATTTGGATGTGGAATCTACAAAGTCCAACTTCTACACGGAAAGAGTAGAATGGTATTTGTCAGAGGAGTGTGGGAAAGGGGATACAGGGAGTGTAAACTCAGTTTTATCAAAGTTCTAGAGCACTAATGACTGCATGGAGACTAGTTAACAAACACTTAGAACTTAAGTATTCTCTCCATACAAAGACAAAGCAGTATCTGTGAGGTGGTAAGTGTGAAATTAGTTTATGATACTCAATTACAATGTATACATGCATCAAGTCATCATTGTATACACCTTGAAAATATGCAATGTTTGGCAAATATACTGGAATAACCCTTCAATGTTCACAGACAATAAAACCGGGACCTAAGTCTGGGAGATACTTAAAATACATTTGAGAATTTTAAATTACATCTGAGAAATGGGAAGGTTTCAGAAGACTGAAGTACTTTTAAAATATCCATCAATTTGACTAGCTTAAAAATCAAAACTTTTGCACTTTAAAGTTTTTTAAAAGGACCTATTAGGAGAATGTGCAAACTGGGTTGCTGACCCATGCCTATCCTCCTGAAGTCTGGGCTATACAACAAGTTTCAAGACAGCCTGAACTGCAAGAGACCCTGGAGGAGTGGGGACAGAGGGACACGGGGGTGGGTGGTGAGAGAAGAGAGAGTGAGGAGTGAGTGTGCACATGCACACAAGAGCTACCAACATATCAACCAAACTGAAAATTCAACCTTTCTCCTCATTTTTACAATACAGAACACAAAAACCTGAATGACCTTATTATGGGGTAAGACATTTGAAAAGAATCAAGAAAATTAAATTGAAAAACTGTCATTTTCTTTCATAAAAAATGATCAAGTTCTTCAAATATACAATGTATTTGTATGTAGTAGCTCATACTGTTGACCAGTATAAATTAGCCTATTAAAATGAAGATTTGGGGCCAGGCTCGTGGATGTGAGACTAACACAGGTTACTGACTCCCATGCTTAGAAAAGACTCCCCGTGATTGAGGTTTATGAGTTGTTACTGTGAGGATATTGTATTAAAATTTGTATTTATATCTCCTCAGTGAAATCTGCTAAGGTAGACTATACCAGGAAGCTTGCAGCTCAGCACGTGCACAGTTGGACTCCTACTGCCTCACTGAACAGAACGTGACACTGACTTTTTAAAGCCAAAGTCACAAATAAGGGTATTTTACTTCAGCATTTTAACACCAAGTAAATTCCACACATTTGGATACATCTGTGACATAGCCCCTGCCCTTTCAGTTACATGGACCTAAAAATACAATACTTAAAATGAATTCAATGTTTTAAAAACTTATTTCAGAAGGAACATCATGTACTCTCTAAAGGCATCCAAAGTCCTAACACACCAAATTCAGTCAGTACTCATAGCCAAATCCACTAACTCTAAAAGGCAGAAACACCATAGGGGACCTGTGACCCAGCAACAAGACTTGGTACTACCCGTTAATTTAGAAGGAAAAGCAAATGCAAGGCCTAATGATTTTTACAGGATACTTGTAGTTTTAAAAAGCATGCTCGGGACCCTTAGCAAGTAACCAACAAATATGACAGAACACAATCCTCCAAAACTTAACTTAGGCAATTATGGGATCACAGCCTGAACTTGGGAGAGGCAGAATCAGAATTCTGGGGCACATGCTATCTACTGCACAGTAAATGTTACCACTACTGTGTCAGAAGACCTTCAATGACAACTTAAGACTCCAGAGCCAACAAAGACGATGGAACAGAAGAAACCTCCTCTCCACAAAAGAAAACTAAGCCTGGAAACAACCAGAGAAGCAGCCAAAGGAGAACTCACAAATGCAGAAAGAACAAAGTCTTAGGACACCCTAGTGTCCCCGGCCAACAAGAGGGAGGCAGTGACCCACCTGGTGTTTTTCACCCACCTGCCGGGTAGGCTCCTGGCACACTGAACCTCAACCTCTAACAATTCGAGGTGACTCCCTGTGTCCAGAATGGCCTCGGGATAAACCTGGGACCCAGCTAGTTGACATTAGTGGCCAACAGAGCCCCTCTCTCACCCTTTCCACCTAAGGTTCTCCCCCCCTAGGTAGAAATGCCAAGGAGGTCAGGCAGCTCCTTCAAGAGGGCACCTGGCACCACCAGCACCCATTCCACGAAAACGTCCACTCACCGCCAGGAAAGCAGGCGGCTCTTCCTGCCCCACTCCGCCCTCCACTTGGGGAGAGTCCAGGGCCCGTGGTCACGGCCCCCCTGTGATACCCTACCCAACTTCAATAACGGGAGACTCACCGGAGACGAGAAGCTGGAGAGCGAAGATCACTGGACACTCTTCGGGAGAAGACGACGCACCGGAGACGAGAAGCTGGAGAGCGAAGATCACTGGACACTCTTCGGGAGAAGACGACGCACCGGAGACGAGAAGCTGGAGAGCGAAGATCACTGGACACTCTTCGGGAGAAGACGACGCACCGGAGACGAGAAGCTGGAGAGCGAAGATCACTGGACACTCTTCGGGAGAAGACGCACCGGAGATGAGAAGCTGGAGAGCGAAGCACACTGGACGCTTTCCTGGAGAAGACTCACCGGAGACGAGAAGCTGGAGAGCGAAGCACACTGGACACTCTTCGGGAGAAGACGACGCACCGGAGACGAGAAGCTGGAGAGCGAAGGTCACTGGACACTCTTCGGGAGAAGACGACGCACCGGAGACGAGAAGCTGGAGAGCGAAGATCACTGGACACTCTTCGGGAGAAGACGACGCACCGGAGACGAGAAGCTGGAGAGCGAAGATCACTGGACACTCTTCGGGAGAAGAAGACGCACCGGAGATGAGAAGCTGGAGAGCGAAGCACACTGGACGCTTTCCTGGAGAAGACTCACCGGAGACGAGAAGCTGGAGAGCGAAGCACACTGGACACTCTTCGGGAGAAGACGACGCACCGGAGACGAGAAGCTGGAGAGCGAAGATCACTGGACACTCTTCGGGAGAAGACGACGCACCGGAGACGAGAAGCTGGAGAGCGAAGATCACTGGACACTCTTCGGGAGAAGACGACGCACCGGAGATGAGAAGCTGGAGAGCGAAGATCACTGGACGCTTTCCTGGAGAAGACTCACCGGAGACGAGAAGCTGGAGAGCGAAGATCACTGGACACTCTTCGGGAGAAGAAGACGCACCGGAGATGAGAAGCTGGAGAGCGAAGCACACTGCGCACTTTCCGGGAGGAGGAAAACACGCTCTGCGTCTCCGGAATGAGTGGAGTCCACCGGAGCTGCTCACTTCTCTCACCGGAGACCGGGACGCAGAACAGACACGCACCGTCCTCAGCAAGAGAAGAGCAAAAAATGGCGGGAGAGGCCTCCAGCAGCCCTTTTATAGACTCTGTATTCAAATGAGGGCTGCCTGGAGACTTGTTCTGGTTGGATGAGAGGAACCCCTACACCAACTTTGATTGGGTGGTTTTTTTCCTGGTACCAACCAATCGGAATGCACAACAAGTTGACAGGTCCTCTACCACAAGTTTTTCCACCTGCAGCCTGTGTTTCTTTTACAGTACTTTGAATGGGTTTTTTTTGTTTTTTCCCCTTCTAAGCTTTGATTCAGCATAATGCTGAGTGAAAAACCAAACTTATTCTACATCCTTTAAAATTTCTTGTCAAAATATTAATCTCTTACTGTTGTTTAGAAATTATAGTGACATGAAAAGTAGTGATGTTACAGTTTATTTTTATAGCATCACTTAAAACATTAAAAAATTAAGAAGTTTTAAAGTTTCCTTCACAACCAATTATACAGGTGTGGAGGTGCATGCCCATCATCCCACCTATGTAGGAGGAAGAGGCAGGGAAGATCACAGTCCCAGGCAAATCAGGCAAAAAGGCTCATGGGACACCCATCTCAACAGAAAAAAAACCTGGGTGTTCTCCCAGCCCCAGCTGGAAGGGTGTAATTGAGGGATTGTGGTCCAGGATGACCTGGGCAAAAGCAGACCCTACTTACAAAATAATGACAGCAAAAGGGCTGGAGGCATGGCTGAAGCACTAGGGTGCCTGTCTAGCAAACATGAAGCCCTGAGTTCAAACTCCAGTAACACATTTAAAAAAATAAAGGTAAAAGCCAAAATGTAAAAGCTTTCCAAATCTTACAGAGCTACTCAACAGTGAAAGAAATTTAGAGTTTTCCAAATCAGACAACAAACCTAAAAAGTATGCATGGCATTTCAAGGGAAAGCTAAAATTTTAATAAATAATAATCAAAAAATAAAGTTCAATCAATCTTGCTGGAGGAAAGAGATTAGTGTGTCTGTAGATACTATTAGAGAAATCATTATATGAACTAATCAAAAAGCTTCAAATTATAGCTAATGATTTCAGGCTAAGCTACTCAGGAGGCAGAGATGAGGAGGATCACATTTTCAAAGCCAGCCTGGGAGAATAGTTTGAGAGACCCTATCTCAAAAAAATCCTTCACAGAAAAGGGCTAGTGGAGTGGCTCAAAGAGTAGGCCCTGAGTTCAAATCCCAGTACTGCAAAAAAAATCATATGAGCTAAGATTCTTCTTTACTGCTTATCTAAAGCTTCAGGGCCATCATTTTACCCATCACACAGAAAAGTATTTATCCTTGAAATTGCTGGTATAGACTTTTTGAGCCTACCATACTTCATACCAAGCACCGCAAGCTCTTAGGATCATTACCCATTTAGCTTGTTTCCCTAAAATATGTTCAAGAAGAAATTCCAGATGTTTCTAAATCCTAGCAGTTAGATTTTGGGCTAACTAGGTTTTTATCATAAGAGTAATTCTAGGGGGATGGTGAAAAGGGTCTAGAATTACACAGAATCCCTCTCTAGTGATCTCAGTGTGTGTAACTCTCTCCTGAGGTTCACTTTGTAATTCATAGTCAGTTTTATGCTTCATTTCATAAAGGCTTGAAGCACTTGGTAAACCTTGAAGCCTCCTGGACCGGTGCTGGAAGCCAGCATGCCTCAGCTACACTGGCATTCTACGTGTGTCCCATCTGGTCCCAGTCAGAATGAACTGGAGGCTCTTTGCACACTATACTGAATGTATCGATTACTTTTTGGAAGAAGAATGAAAAATGTGTATGAGTAAAGTTATACTTCAAATGATTTAAGTGTGGACCACTTGTAAAAGGCAATGAGCAATGACACACTCATTGCCAACAGATTTGATCAATCCTTGCACAGATCTGAGTTTTTGTTCTAAAAAAGAAAGTCAGAAATACCAGTATCATTTGTTAAAAAGATCTGCCCAGGATGCTAGCTTAAAACCTATTCTGCAGCATTGGTTAGAGGTGGTGAGAATCAGAACTGGCAAAAACATGGGGCCTAAGGGGTGATGGAGGAGGGTTAATCACTATTTTTAGGGCTGTGAAGACTGTTCCATTTTAGAATAGCGTTTACTTCTCAGCTGAAAGTAGCGCAGACCAAGCCCATGAACACAGTTTATTGTCCATAATTACATATTAAACTATCCCTACATTGCACTTCATAAAAAAGATAAAGGCTGTCCTCATGCATGCAAACACATGGACACTTACAGGGGCGACAACCCTCAAAGATTCTATTCTCCCCAGGGAATGGTTCTGACAGCTACCTGCTTTTTCTTCAAAGCAAACTACACCAGCCTCTTGAATGTTCACAGTTGTTTAGACTATTTTTCATGTAACAACACTTGAAAAATCTGAGTTCACTACTAATGTATCTTAAACTCCATCACTGAACAACTTGCGATACTCTTTTTTTTTTAAAGGAGGCTATAACTAAGGGTGAGGGCTGTTACTAGGTGACAACAGCAGCCACAGAGAAGCAAAAAGACAACTAAAGAAGCTCCAAGAGGAACAAGAATCATGAAGCTTCTTAACCCCGGTAAGATTCTCAGTGAAAATTAAAAACCATGAGGCTAAATCTACAATCGTCAAAGCTTCCTCTATTTTATTTCATGTAAGTCACAGCTAATGGGTAGCTGTGTTAATAGGACCCTTCTTCACAGCAGAGATTATTCTAGGTAGTTGGTTCAAACACATCTGGCAAGTGGTATATGAAGGACAGCCTTTTTTTTCCTATAGCTCAGTCTTCCCCTTTCAAACTCTCTTCTTTCCTCCTCTTCCCTGTTCCTTCTCCTTGTCTGAGACTTTGAAGTCAGGAACACCTGTGAGCAATGTCTGATTTGTTGGGACATTAACTCAAAGAGTGGGAGGAGCTTTGGAGAAAAATTAGGGAAGTAAGGGACAGCGGTGACATTAGGAGTGAGGAGACTGCATTGTGCTATTCTACAGAGGCAGAGGCATGTCCAGGAAGGTTGCCTTTTAAAATGTGACATTTTTCCAGAGACCTGAATGGCATAAGTGTCTGAATCACGTGACTACCTGAAGGTGAGAAATAGAGGTAGAAGAGTACTTATAATGACTGAAGAAGAAGAATGTAAGAATGGCCTTCACAGGAATAAGGGACAAGGAGAGGCTGAGAGGTAAGGTCAGAGAGAAAGCAGAGATTAGATCACAAATTTCTGTTTTCAAACTGAAAGAAGGGAAGTCAATCAGGAGGACTATGAATAGAGAGGAGATTGCTGTGTTGATAAAAAAGTAGAGAGCAAGGTTATAGCAGGGAGACCAATTAGGAGAAAATTGCAATAATCCAGGAGAGAAATAAGACAGGCTTAGACCAGATGCTAATGTAGGTTGGGAAAGGTGATCAATTCTAGATATATCCTCAAGGAAGAGTTGGTAAGATTTGCTGTCTGTCTGGATAGGAAATTTGAGAGACAGATAAGATATGAGAGAGTCAAGGGTAACTCCTAGGATCTTGGTCTTAGAACCAGAAAAGACCTCTACTGCTAAGACTGGCCAGGAAGCCAGAGGACCAGGTATGTGGGTGGGAGGACATGAGAAGTTTGGTTTCAGACATATGAAGTTTGAAAACCTATTACATATTTAAGAAGAAATGTCAGCTAGGTAGATAAAATAATCTGGAGTTCTAGAGGACGGCTGAAAGTGGAAATAAAATTTGAGAGTTGAAAGCATGGAGATGACATAGAAATTGGGTTGAAAACATGGGACTGAAAGAAACTACCTAGGCATTGAACATTTACAGAGAAAAAGTAAGAGAATAAAGGACTGAAACTCCACGCACTTCAGTGTGGTAGTTAATAAGCTGGAGGAGATGAAAAGAAATCACCAAAAGAGGCTACTGGTAAGGAATCCCACCTAAATTACCCCATTTTCCCCACTGTAAAGAGAATGGATCACCTCCAAGTTCCCAAGAACTGCGTTCCCTACTGTAGAAAGAAGACAGCTCAAATGTCACTCATCCCACTCATCCCTCCTATGGTACAAACTTAGGATAATACTTGGGACATAGTCACGTGTGCTCCCCTAGAACTACCAGGAAAAAGTCACTACATCCACTCACACAAGCAGACAGGCAAAGAGGGGGCAGTGAAATGGCAAACTCATTCCAGAATTCTGTGATCTTGCCCCAATTAAATTATATAGAATGTTTTTCCAAAATGAGCAAAAGCCAAAAAAAATGCATTATGATTACTCCACATATTCATCCGAGTTTTGAAGAAGAATGGACTTCCTGGTTATCACAAATGTTACGTACTCTGTCTCCTTGTCCTTACAAACTTAACTGTCCATTTCCCTAATACAATCCACCTCCCCAGCTACACTCAGGGAAGCAGCATATCTTCTGATACCCCAAAGGTGCTGTGACCCCTGTTCTTACTTCTAACACCTCAGCCTGAATGTCTGCCTCACATAGGGATGGGGGATTTAAAACCTCTGTGTTCTGCAGTATTTAGGTCTCAGGGAAGGGAACAGACCTGTTCAACTTCAAATCCTGCAGAATAGCCATTACAGTGCCTACACCAAGGAGGTGACCAAGATTGAAGGCCACAGGGAGACATGTTTTTGCCTCCCCGCTGTTGAAAGGGCAGAAATAAGCAATTTGAAAAAAAAAAAACTCCCCAGAGTCTACAAATAGATAGATATGGCAGAAGTGATCCACATGCCTATCCTTACCTCATCACATCCCTGTTCTCTACATAAGCCTCCCTCCCACACTGGCTGTGGTCTGAGCTGTGGAACTCATTCTTGGTCTCTTCCTCTTGGACTCAGTTTTTGTGTGTGTGTTTGTGTGTGTGTGTGTGTAACTGGGGTTTGAACTCAGGGCTTCACACTAGCAAGGCATCTTCTTCTTGGTCCTAGGATCTTGCTCTTCCTCTTCTGTCATGGAAGATGAAGTCCTAGAGAACTACAGGTCCCCATTACATGAGGGAGACCAGAGTGGGTAGATGGGC